AATTTAGTAATTTCCAGTTACTGTTTTAGTTAACTAAAACAGTATTTCTAACTTCTTACCTGATCACTGAAATAGTTAAAAACTGATGACAACTATTCATAGAAAGGATAAAGCAAAGTTAACAATGACAAGGAGGTCATACAACTTCACTGTGAGAAGGAGCTTCCAACATGTAAATTCCAGGTAGGAAACAATGATCTACTTTAAGATTTTTGTAGCAGCTACCTAAGAGGCAGCTGGGAGTTAGAAGACTTACAACACCTAACCTTCTAATCTCGAACTCAATAACGTCTACAGGTGTTGGGAGTATGAGAGCAGAACAAAATAATAAAGAAATACTGAGTTTTGGGTGCTACTTCTGCGTTTAGCTTTGACAACAACAACAAACATCACAGCTCAAGGAAGTATCATTTTCCACATCTAGAGATTGAGGTTTACATTGAGGTCAATAAGTTGCTTCCAAAAAAAACCTCACTGCAATTGAGTCCATTCGGACTCCCTTTGGGTTTCCCAGGCAGTAAAGCTTTACAGAAAGTAAGTTGCCCAGTCTTCTTTCTGCGGAGTGGCTGGTGGTGAGTTTGAACCACCAACCTTCTGGTTAGCAGTCAAATTCCTTAGACACTACACTACCAGAGCTCCTTAATAACTTGCTTCCAAAAAACAAATCAAACTTGCTTAGGCCATCTTCCAAATGTATTTAACATCAAAGAATGCTTTGAACACTCCATTGCATTGGACTATTCTGGAGAGAAGATTGGGTAGTTGAGTGCGAAAGATGGAAACTTAAAACTGCTTCTACAGACCAACAGATTCCCATAATCCGCACCACCCTCTGCACATCTCAGTCACAGGGGAAGGAAATAGAGAGCCAGGACACGTTCTCCCAGTACTGGACCTGCTGCCCAGTCCCACCAATAACTCCACTCTAAGCCCCGCCCCTCCACACAGCCCTCTAGTACGTAACCCTTAAACTACATCTCCCACAAAGCCAAGCGAGGACACCAGCACTCCGCCGGAAGTCAGGAAGGCTGCACCCGGCTCCGAGAAAAGTGAGAGTGGGATTTACCCAGACTTTCGGTTACATTCTGGTTTCTTCTCCTCTGATCACTTTTGGGTTAGTAGTAGTAGCGGCGAGTTAGTGTGCTTTAGTGCCCCTTCTGGGAACCATGGCCAGTTCTTAGGGCTCTTTGGTGTCTGCACTGCTCGGCCAAGCCCTATTGGGTTATGTGGCTCAGCCTCGCGCTGGAGTGGCAGGCGCAGGCGCGAGAGCCTAGGCTAGCGCACCCTGGAGGGGCAGGTGGTGGGGGCGCGGCCGGTACTGCTGCTGGTGGAGTTTCAGCTAAGCTTTGAGATAGGGAAAAGGAAGAATTTAGGGTTGATTTCACGATCAAAGAAGCAATCTCAACAGTCGTGGCAAGAAGATAATGTCTTAAGGAGGTTGACCGTTTGGAGCGAACTTGCACGGGTGGCGCTTAATTGGTTAAATGGACATCTTGGGGTTCAGGGACCATTTCGTTAAATGATAGCGCCCTAAGAGACAGAGCCAGATATGAAGTCGCGGCCTGACCTTTTGGGACCGTGTGACCTTGGGAAAGTCATAGGGCCTCGTGTTACACGGCGGTAAAGTAGATGTTGATTTGGTTAAAATCTAAGTTCCTTTAAACCTAAGATTATTTAAAATGACCTCTCAGAACAGTGTATACTCATGGAAAATAAAAGGAGCTCTGGTAGCTCATTGCCTAAGACATTTGACTGCTAACCAGAAGTTTAGTGGTTCAAACACATCTGCTGATCCCCAGAAGCAACATATGAGGCAGTCTACCTCCGTAAAGATTTACTGCACCTGGGGAACCCAATAAGGGTCTACGCGAGTCTTAATCGACTAGATGGTAGTGGGTTGGGTTTTTTTTTTTTTTTTTTTTTTTGGAAAACAAGGGTAGCATTAAGCCAACAGAATCACCTTAGCCTGCCCTCAAATCATTACGTTCTCGAGGACCTGTCGTTAAGAAGTGAAAAAGTAAATCAACCAGTTAACTGAATCTCAGACTTTCTGTGCTTGTTTTTAGAATGAGCAAAGTTACTATTTATAGATGGCTTTTTTGCTGAGAAAGCTAAATGTCAAAGTGTATGTTTTCCACTTTCTTTCCTAATACTATGAGTAAGCAGTATTTCAGTGGGGCAGTGAATGCCACTGTATTTTTGGAGGACAGTTTTGCAGTTACTTGGTGTGGGGTGGGTAAGGATGTGACCATAACCTCAGAATATGGAGCAGTAAATGTAACTGAAGAAACTGTGCATTATGGTTTTATGGGGGGCGGGGAAAAGAAGATTTAAGGGAAAGGTAACTTGGAAAGAGACTATACAAGAATCGGTATACAGCTGTGCTTCAGAATAAAGTTCTGAAAAGTTTTAGTGTTTGTTATTCATAATATTTTTAAAGTGAAATAAATTTGGAGTAAGTCAATAAATTTAAAAAATAGTTTTCTAATGTAGAGTCCCACCTCATTTAAGTTGTAAACAGAGCGCAATTACTGAATTTAATGTAAATGTTTCTATTATTGTGGGCAGTTTTGACGTACAGAAAGACACAAACCTCAAAGGTGAACAGGTAAAAAGAAAGAAAGTTAATCTTTTGAGCCCATTCCCCATCCCCTACTAGCCTCCCACCCCTGGAAACTTTGTTCATTATTATCATACTACAAAATTGATCAGCCAGTTTGGTTTTTCAGAACTCAAAAGACAACAGTTGTCAAAAATTAGGAGTTAGGACATTTTCTTCCATTTAGACTAAATTTATTACTTAGAATAATATAAGCCTAATTACAATCCCAGATATTTTCTTAATAGGTGAATGTTTTAGTTACATAGGGAAAAAGAGAAAAAGATACTTTACAAAAAAAAAAAAATACTTTGAGAAGTTCATAGAACACTGCCATGTAAACCATTTCCATTAAAAATTAGCTCAGCTTGTGCCCCACATTTAATCTATGATTAGGTGAGATTTATTAAGAGGTATGGAACAATTATTTCCTACTTTTTTCCTTCTGAATAAACAATGACAAAACAAAAAGTTAATGTTTAAAAGTGCTGTGATTCAAGGATAGATAAAGTGATCAATAGGACACTGTCCAAGTGAACCCGAATGCCTTGTGTTTGCCACTTAACTCAAACAAGAACAAGAGAGAAAAGTGGAAAAAGTAAGTTGGATTTTATTTCTTACAGCAAGAAAGAAAACAGCAAGAGTGGTTTCTGAGAGAACTACCTCTCCAAGCTGAGGGCTCAGGGAACTTTTAAAGTGAAGAATGAGGAAGTTATACACATTAAAATTCTGAGAAATTGGTTACATATGCATAAGGGGGCCAGGTCAGATCTTGGCAAGGAAGTTGATGATGGACTCCTCACTGCTCTTAGGGGCCTGTCTGGAAATTGATGATGCAGTTTTCATCACATCCCTTATTTTCAGTTCCTTTTCCAAAGTTTTTTAGTTCCTAGAGCTGAACTTACCATGGGATGGGGTAAAGCCAGGGGGTGGATAGTTTATCTCTGCACATGCTTCATGGTAAGTCTCCAGTCTAAGGAAAAGAACTTTAGGAAGTGATAACCTCAAAAGAAGGGCAGCTACAAAATGTTAGCTTCAAAAGAACAGCAGCTACAAAACTTACCCAACCAGATTCATGCCCTTTTCTAATTTTGATTTTTGGATTTTCTACTAACTCAGCTAAGTCTGTTCTTCCCTTCCTGCCTACATGTTCCCTGCATTAGTCTCACAATTATAAATCCAAAATGTGTTAATCACCTGATTTATGACAAGGATAATTCTGGAGTGCAATGGGACAAAGATCATGCTGCCAAAAATGATGCTGAGTCATATGGATTATCCATTGGGATAAAAACATATCCCTAACCTTACCTCAAGGAGCTCTGGTAGCGTAGTGCCTAAGACACTTGACTGTTAACCAGAAGCCTGGCGGTTCAAACCCACCAGCCACTCCTCGGAAAGAAGGTTGGGCAATCTACTTCTGTAGTGATACAGCCTCGGAAACCCAAGGAGGGGTCGCTATGAGTCAGGTTTGACTCGACGGCACATAACAACAACCTTACCTCAAGGAACCTCAGTGGTTCAGTGGTTAAGAGCTCAGTTGGCTACTACCCGAAGGGTCTATGGTCGGAACCTACCAGCTGCTCCATGGGAAAAAGATGGGGTGGTCTATGTGCGTATAGATTACAGCCTTAGGAACCTTAACGGGGCAGTTCTGTTCTGTCCTCCAAATGAGGGTTGCTATGAGTCTGGATCAACTTAAACGGCACACAACAATAACCCCTATCTTATACCACACACAAAAATTAATCTCAGATGGATTGCAGAATTAATTGTGCAAGACAAAGTAATAAAATGTTTTCATGTGAAACTTAGAAAGCTTTTGAATAATTACAGATAGGGTTTTAATTTCCCTCACAATACTGTTTGTCCTCAGCTGAAAACCTCTGCTTTACTACTGTCTGTTGCTTTTTGTCTTCTGCTCCATAATGAAGTCCCTTTGGTCTACCTCAAATACCCACTCCTCTGTAAAATCTTACCTGGCGACTCCTTTTTAAGATATTGGCCCTTCATCTGTATTAACAAAGCCTTTTATGTATTATTTTATCTAATGCTATGTTGAATTATATTTATAATTCTCAAGTGGTGGCAATTTTGAAATATCTGCTGTTGACTGCTAATTACCTTTGAAGAGTGTATTACTTTGGAAAACCATTAATTTTCATTCTAAGTACCCACCAGCCACTCCACAGAAAGAAGATGGGGCAATCTGCTTTCATAGTGATGCTGCCTTGGAAACCCAAGAAGGGGTTGCTTTGAGTCAGATCCGACTCAACGGCAGTGAGGTTTTTTTTTTTTTTTTTGGAAGTATAGCATATTTATCAGATAATATCTATCCATTGATACAAAAAGGAGTTGCAAATGAGTAACTTTTCTCTATTTTGCTTTTTTTAAGGAAGAAATGTCTTCTATAAAAAGAAATCCAAAGAAGGAGTTAATTTCTCAATTTCACTGTTCAGCTGCTGAAGGGGACGTAGCCAGGTTAACAATAATACTCAGTCATTCTCCATCTCTTCTCGATGAAACTTCTGAAAATGGCTGGACTGCCTTAATGTATGCTGCAAGGAATGGGCACCCAGATGTTGTCCAGTTTCTGCTTGAGAAAGGGTAAACATTTTAGGCTGTTCCACTTAGTAGAATGTGTAATTTAACTTTTGTTACATATTCCCTTTTAAGCATTTTTAGTAGCCATACTACATCCTTGAGCTAGTAAATAACCCATTGGCCAGTTTGTTACATGAAAAGGTGCCATAGTTTCTAACTAAAAATATTTAACTTCTTTTCTTGAAACTCTTCATACTTAATAGTAAAGCAAACTATGAGTTAGTCCAGTCTGTTCCACCCCAAATAGAAAATATAAATCTACATACCACAACTGTTAAAACCCTTTGTAGAATTTTGGTAACACCTTATAGCACATAAAGCTAACTGCTTTTTTTATGTTATAAAAAATAATTCTTCAGAAAGCTTATTTCTTTTAATCTTCCCAGTTGCCTAAGAAAATCCACGGTTATTGTTGAGTAATTGAGTTAATTCCAACTCATGGAAACCCATGTGTTTCAGAGTAGAAATGTGCTCCATGGGATTCTCCGTGACTGTGATCTTTCGGAGTAGATCATCAGGCCTTTCTTCCAAGGGTCATTACATAGAGGGGTTATAATGTGTACCTGGAATTATTTTATTGAAATATTTAGTAGAGAAAATTTTTACTCCTATTTTATTTTTCCTCCCCAATTTTTCCTTTCATCTGTAGGTGTGACAGGTCCCTTGTCAATAAATCAAGGCAGACTGCACTGGATATTGCTATATTTTGGGGTCATAAGCATATAGCTAACTTATTAGCTAATGCCAAAGGTGGGAAGAAGCCTTGGTTCCTAACCAGTGAAGTGGAAGAATGTGAAAACTATTTTAGCAGGACACTACTGGATCGGAAAAGTGAAAAAAGAAATAATACTGATTGGCTACTAGCTAAAGAAAGCCATCCAGCCACAGTTTATGTCCTTTTCTCAGATTTAAATCCCTTGGTTACTCTAGGTGGCAATAAAGAGAGTTTCCAACAGCCGGAAGTCAGGCTTTGTCAGCTGAACTACACGGATATAAAGCATTTTTTGGCCCAGCCTGAAAAGATCACCTTGATTTTCCTTGGAGTAGAACTTGAAATGAAAAAAGAGTTATTGAATTATGCTGGGGAATTCCCAAAAGAAGAAGATGATGGGTTGGTTGCCTGGTTTGCTCTAGGTATTGATCCTATTTCTGCTGAAGAATTTAAGCAAAGGCATGAAAATTGCTACTTTCTTCATCCTCCAATGCCGGCACTTCTGCAATTAAAAGAAAAGGAAGCTGGTAAGAGGTGAACACTGCTTTCATATATTGATGATAAGCTGGTTTTCAGAAATGGGATGGGGGCGTATGTATCGGCAGTTTGCAGGAGGTACACTTTTTTTCAGTAAGCAGTGGAATGAGAACATCTTTATTAGAGACTTGTTAGAGTTTTGATCCTAGGGGAATACACTCGTGGATTCTTAAGGCAGTTTTAATGAAGATTAGTTTCCCCTGAACTAACCCTAATGCATGCTGATTTCATTCAATTATTGAATGAATAATTATTGGTTACCTACTATACATTTAGCATGCTAACAAAGGTCTTGGCTTTTATTTTCTATTGTTTGCTATGCCGATTCATATAGGGCCATATTGACCAAGGGAAGAAGTTAAGAGTTTTATTCTAAATGCCTAATATTAAATGTTGGAGTATGATTTATGTTAAATAAACAAAGGAAAAAACCTGATATTTACTAGCCCATAGACCATGAATTGTAAGTAAGTGTGGAAATCAGGAGTCTTCTTAAGAGAAATTGGGAATTACAGTAGCCCGGATAAGAGGTTATTGTGGCTGGGTTTGGAGTAGTGGCAGTGGTGATGGATGAAAAAGGAGAGTTAGAGATATTCTGGAGGTAAAACTGAGGATTAATATGTAACCCACTGCCATCGAGTCAGATCCAACTCATAGCAGCCCCTCCTTAGGTTTCTGAGGCAGTATCACTATGAAAGTAGATTGCCCAACCTTCCTTCTGAGGAGTGGCTAGTAGGTTTGAATCGCCAGCCTTCTGGTTAGTAGTCAAATGCCTTAGGCACTATGCCACCAGAGCTCCCTTACTGGACATTAAGATGTAAGTTGACAAAATTTTAAGAGGGAGATAATGGTAACCAGGACTGAGGCCTAAATTAGGGTGGTAACAATAGAGATTGAGAAAAGGGCACAGTCAAGAAATATTTTGGAAATAAAATCGATAGTACTTTCTGATGAGTTTGTTATGAGATAGACAGGAATGATGGCAAAGATCAAGAATGATTGCTAGGTTATAGAATTTAATAATTTGGTAAATATTGATGATGAATAAGTAAATGTAGGATGATGAGTGGAGCAATGAAAAGGAACAGACTTGGAGTAAATAAACCAAGAGTCCAATTTTGGACATGTTGAGTTTTAGATAAGGGTATTAGAATCTGGAATTCAGAGGAGAGATCTTAACTGGAGAAACCCATATGAAAGTCATTAACATAAGGTGGTATTTAAATCCCAGGAAATTATAGAAATTAGAGAGTTAAGAGAAAGAAGGTAAAAAAGCCTCAGAAACAGGCTTGAATATTAAACTTAGAAGTCAGGTACAAGCAGAGGAGCCAGCAAAGGAGATGGAGATTATGTGACCATTGGTAGGAGAAAACCATGAGAAAATGCTTAAGGAACCAAAAGACCAGAGTGTTGTAAAGATGGAGCAGTCAAGTGTGTTGGTTGCTGATGAGAATTGTAGTAAGATGAGGACAACGACATTTTTTAAAAGGCTGTTTGGTTCCGGTGATGTGAAGTTATTTGTGAACTTGACAGGAAGAATGTCAGTGGAGTATAAGGAATAGAAAAGGAGAATATGATAGACTGAAGAGTTAGTGGGAGATGAGGAAGGGGCACTTGTTAGGAGCCACTGTCCCTTAGGTGATGTGAATGCTCTTCCAGAGATTGCTTAGACACCTCCTCCCAGAGGGCTACAGTTGTATGTTTTATTCTCTACACCAGTGTGGAGAAATCATTGGATTTTTAAAAGAAGATATCATCTCTTTGGAACTGTGTATATAATTTTACCAGCCACTCCTCAGAAGGAAGATGGGGCAGTCTACTTCCGTAGTGGTAACTGCCTCGGAAACCCAAGGAGGGGTTGCTATGAGTTGGGTCCGACTCAACGGCACATAACAACAACAACATATAATTTCATGTTTCAGAAGGATCTTAAAAATGAGCTAGTGTAGCTCTTTTTTTTTTTTATCATTAACTAATAAGGAACTGAAGTTCTTTTACCAACTTGCTGTATAACCTTACACAGTTACTTAACTTCTCTGTGTCATTTTCCTCCTCTGTAAAATAACAATGACAGTACCTACTTCACAGGGTCTTTGTAAGCATTAAATAAAAGATACAAGCCAAACCCGTTGTGTCAAGTCAATGCTAAGTCATAGTAAATCTGTAGAGTAGAACTGCCCCAGAGGGTTTCCTGGGCTGTAATCTTTATGGAAGGAGACTGCCACATCTTTCTCCTGTGGAGCAGCTGGTGGGTATAACAAACAACCTTTTGGTTAGCAGCTGAGCATTTAACCATTGTAGCACCAGGACTCCTAGACACTAAGTAACCGTATATGTCTTGTGCTTGGCACACAGGGAGTCCTCAGTAACTATTAGTATTTCTTATTGTGATGATGTTAAAACAATGTAGACATTTCTAGTGTAAAGTCCCTATCACAAAGTAATGTAGCAGGTGTAGTGCCTGAGGCATTTGACTGCTAACCAGAAGGCTGACGGTTTGGTTCAAACCCACCAGCCACTCCTCGGAAGGAAGGTTGGGCCATCTACTTCCGTAGTGATACTGCCTTGGAAACCAAAGCAGGGGTCGCTGTGAGTTGGATCTGACTCAGTGGCAGTGAGTTTGGTTTTTGGTTTATGGATCACTGGATTTCAGCATTACATTTCTTTTTACTTCTGAATTATTACTTTACTTTCTTCCCCCAATTTAAAGTATTATTGTTGTTGTTGCTATTTATTTTATTTATCTCAAAAATCCTTAGGCCAAATAGGAGTCCCTGGCTGGTGCAAATGGTTAATGTGCTCAGCTGCTAACTGAAAACTTTGGCTCCACCCAGAGGTCCCCCAGAAGCAAGTCCTGGCAGTCTACTTCCAAAGAATCAGCCAGTGAACAGTCTGTGTAGCACAGTTCTACTCTGAAACACACAGGGTTGCCATGAGTTGGAATTGACTCAATGGCAACTACTTTATGCCAAATAATATATTTTAGGGTGATCAAGTTTGTCAGGCATCGGAAATGTAGCATTTCTAGTTACGTTGCCACAATTTTAACATTTCTGGTCAGATCATTATTCTTTGTTGAAACACCAAGATAAAGATTAGAGCCAAAGGATATATCTATTCTAATATTTACCCTATAAAGTATTTTTTTCATGAGCATAGTTAATTGCAAATCTTTTAGATGCAATATTTTCTGTACTATATGCAGCCTTCAGTTGTAAATAGGACATGTTCCACAGTGACATGGATCAGCAGTAGTTTAGTCACCAAGGAAGAGAGTGAAATTTCTACAGTTTCTTAGTAAGATTTTCTTTGGAAGGAAATACAGAAGTCCAAGTCTAAGGCAAGAGCTGCCTTTATAGTATGATATTTTTATAAAGGTCTTTATTAGTTAGAATCACGTATACTCAAAATATAAAAGTCATTAATAGTGAAAGCTTGATTTAATAACATATACAAGATATTAATCAATCAGCCTTAGATGAGAGAGAATGTTTTATTAGTTCAAAGAAAAATGTTAAACCTAATTTTCTTCTGTCCTCTTGAAAATAAAATCTTTTACTTTAACATAAAAATAAACATCGTGAAATAAGAATACTAAAACCCTCAATCACACAGATCCTCAGTAAACAAAATGTTTATCTTTGGTATAGCCTAAGAATATTTTGCCTAATTTATTAGATTTTTTTTTTTTTTTTTACAATTGTTATAGAATTAAATTTTTTGTACCATCTCTTAAAGGGGTTGTTGCTCAAGCAAGGTCTGTTCTTGCCTGGCACAGTCGATACAAGTTCTGCCCAACCTGCGGAAGTGCAACGAAAATTGAAGAAGGCGGCTATAAAAGAGTATGTTTAAAAGAAGACTGTCCTAGCCTCCATGGCGTTCACAATACATCATATCCAAGAGTTGGTAAGCCTTCTCATTTACACTAAAATCTCAGCCATCTAGAATCTTGGGCAATATTCTGGAAAGACAGGTTTTGAGGAATGGAGGAGTTTACCTTATTTAAAAAATAATGTGTTTAATTTAACCATGATTACAAATGTTAAAGTGTTACACTTTTATGGCTTCTTAAGTGAAAGACATATATAATCAGTCATTCCTTAGCTGAGTTAATCTATATGAATTTGATGTATTGGCATATTTAGTTTCAGAAAGCTCACCAGTCTGGATCCACTTAGTGGAGAGGTAAAAAAGCTCCTACAATTCAGTGCCTGTTTTAGGCATCACCAAAGCATTACAGTCTGAAGCTAGCTTCACACTACTGCTGGTGTCTGCCTGTATCTTTTCTCTTTCTTCTAATTGCTGCTTTTTGACTCTGCTCTGGGTTTTGAAATCTGATAACACAGCCCTTTAAAATTGTGTGAGAAAGAATAGACTCAGCAACACCTGAGAAGGTCTCCTGGGAGTAAAGTGCATGGCTTCCTAGCATCTACTTTTGCTGCTAATAAACATTTTACATTAAACTCCTGATGATCAATCAGGATCTGGTGAGGAGAATTTGCTGGACTTCTAGACGGATGAACTGTCATTTATTTTATATATTTATTTTTTAATTGTAATGGCCAAATCAGGACTCCTGGTGGCACATAGTTAAAGTACCTGGCTGCTAACCAAAAGGTCTATGGTTTGAATCCATCAGCCACTCCACACAAGAGAGATGGAGCAATCTGCTTCTTTAAAGATTTACAACCTTGGATACCCTACAGGACAATTCTATTCTGTCCCAAGGGTCACTGTAGGGTTGCTGTGAGTCAGAATCACCTCAGCAGAAGTAGGTTTGGTTTTGGTTGCTTTTTTGAATGGTTAAAACAACCTTAATCATTGAGACACATTAGCTTATAAATCATTTTGTTAAGGATTAACCTGAAAGATGTACATCATTAGCTAAATTCACTTAAATTATCCTAAACAAGAAAATTATTTCATTTACTGTGTTGTTATTTTCAGGTATCATCGAGTCAGCTCCAACTCATAGCAACCCTATTTACAACAGAACAAAACCCTGCCCTGTCCTTCGCCATCCTCCCAATTGTTGCTGTGCTTGAATTCATCATTGCAATCACTGTGTCCATCCATCTCTTGAGGGTCTTCCCCTTTTTCTCTGACTCTCTACTTTACCAAGCAGAATATCGCTCTCCAGGGACCGATTTCTTCTGTCTAAAGTAGATGAGATGAAATCTGGCCATTTTTACTTCTAAGGAGCATTCCGGCTGCACTTTTTCCAGGATAGATTTGTTCCTCCTTCTGGCAGTCCATAGTATTTTCATTATTCTTCACCAACACCACACAATTCAAAGGCATCAGTGATTTTTCAGTCTTCCTTATTCATTGTCTTGTTTTCACATGCATATGAGGCTGTTGAAAATACCATGGCTTGGGTTAGGTGCACCTTAGTCTTCAAAGTGACATATTTGCTCTTCAACATTTTAAAGAGGTCTTTTGCAGTCAGAGTTCTTGACTGAGTAGGAACTCTGGTGGCATAGTGCCTAAGGCATTTGACTGCTAACCAGAAGGCTGGCGGTTCAAACCCACCAGCCACTCCTTGGAAGGAAGATTGGGCAATCTACTTCTGTAGTGATACTGCCTCGGAAACCCAAGGAGGGGTCATTATGAGTCAAATCCAACTTGAGGGCGGTGAGTTTGGTTTTTTGGTTTGTTTCCATGAGTGTTGATTGGGATCCAAATCAAATGAAACCTTTGACAACTTAAATGTTTTCTCCATTTATCACGATGTTGCAAGGATTTTTGTTTTCTTTATATTAAGGTGTAATCCATACTGAAGACTGTAGTCTTTGAACTTCATCAGTAAGTGCTTCAAGTCTTCTTCACTTTCAGCAAAAGTTGTATCATCTACATATCGCAGGCTGTTAGTGAGTCTTCCTCCCATACTGATGTTGTGTTCTTCTTCATATAGTCCAGCTTCTGGGATTATTTGGTCAACATGCATACTGAGTAACTATGGTGAAGGGATACAACCCTGATTCACGCCCTTCCTGATTTTAAGCCATTCAGTATCCCTTTGTTCTGTTTGAATGACAGTGTCTTGGTCAATGTACAGGTTGCTCATGAGCAAAATTAAGTGTTCTGAAATTCCCATTCTTTGCAATGTTATCGATAATTCCACACCGTCAAATGCCTTTGTATAGTCAGTAAAACATAGGTAAACATCTTTCTGGTCTTCTTCGCTTTCAGCTAAGATCCATCTGACATCAGCAATGATATGCCTCATTCCACATTCTCTTATGAATCCAGCTTTCATTTCTAGAAGTTCTCTGTCAGTATAATGCTGCAAACCATTTTTGAATTATCATTAGCAAGAAGTTTCTACAGATTCTTAGTAAGATTTTCTTGTATGTGATATTAATGATATTGTTTGATAATTTTTACCTTTCTTTGGAATGAGTACAAATATTAATCTCTTCCAATCAGTTGGCCAGGTAGCCGTCTTCAAAATTTCTTGGCATAAGTGAGTAAGCACCTCCCGTGCTGCCTCCATTTGTTGAAACATCTCAATGGGTATTCTGTCAATTCCTGGACCCTTTTTTTATCTGTCATCAGTTCCTTCAGTGCAGCTTGGACTTCTTTCAGTATCGTTGGTTCTTGATCATATGCTACCTCCTGAAATTATTGAATGTCAACCAATTCTTTTTGGTAGAATGATTCTGTATATTCCTTCTGTCTTCTTTTGATGCTTCCTACATCATTCAATATTTTGCCCATAGAATCTCCAGTATTGCAACTGGAGGCTTGGATTTTTTCTTCAGTTCTTTCAGCTTGAGAAATGCTAAGCATGTTCTTCTCTTTTGGTTTTATAATTCCAGGTCTTTGCACATTTCATTATGATACTTGACTTGGTCATATCACTCCACCCTTTGAAATCTTCTCTTCAGCTCTTTTTATTTACTATGGTACCATTTAAATTTTCTCCATGTCCATATATTGACTCCCTAATTCCTTTTTAAATAATAAAAAAAATAAGAATATGCTTGGCATTCCATCAGTACAAAAAGTATTCCTGTTAAGATAGGGAAAGGAGGGCAAAAATGTTCTTCCTTTAGCTTAGTGACTTATTCCATGCAATTTCTCTCAGACATTTTGTCATCAGCTACATTGTGATGGAAAGAAATAATCCTGTAACAAGATGGTCTTGTTGCCACAGGAGATGCCTTTGTTTTATCTTATGAGATGGAGACTTTACATAATGAGTCTAAATTATTTTTTGCCTATAATTTAGGTCTCTTACTATTATTTTGACAGATCCAGTAGTAATCATGCAAGTTATTCATCCAGATGGGACCAAATGTCTTTTAGGCAGACAGAAGAGATTTCCCCCAGACATGTTTACTTGCCTTGCTGGATTTATTGAACCTGGTAAGCCATATAATATCAAATTATTATTAATAATTTTTATTAATAGCTTTCATTTGACTTATATTTTCCAAACATATTTTGGACAGCATTTGAGAAATAATCTCATATAAATTATCATGTTATGAAGTTGTGATATTTAAAACATTTTCAATGATGCAGTTTTTGATTTACCAGTGTATTAATTTTTTTATTAAAAATTTAGTATTCTCTATTTCTATATAAATATTTCTTATATCACTCTTACCCTAGGCATCTACATGGTTTATATCTTACTGTGCTAGATGGCTGTGCTACACTCAGCCATCTCCTTCTCAAATAGGCTTTCCCTGACTACCCTAAATACACTAGTCAGCCCTTACACTGTGCACTCACAACCCCTTTCACTGCCTTATTTTCTCTACAGTGCTAATAACCACCTGACTTCTATTTATTTGTTTATCATCTGCTCTTACTGGCATGTAAGTTTCATAAGGACAGGAACTTTATTTCACTCACTGGTACATACCATAGCAATGATTGTGAGGATGGCACTGGACTAGGCAGTGTTCCTTTCTGTTGCACATGGAGTCGCTGTGAGCCAGAACCGACTCAGCGGCACCTAGCAACAACAACTATATCCCTTAGAGCTGTGACTATTATATAGCAGGAGCTCAGAGGATATTTTTGATGTTTCAGAATATCAAAATGAATGGATATATCTAATTAGCAAATAAAAGTTTAATCTCAACTTCTAGTATTGTGTGGTAGTAATAATAGTAGTAAATTACTATGTAATGCCAGGCTCTGCTCTGATTACTTTATATATATTAAATCATGATCCTCATACAACCTTAAACAATAGTTACAGTTAAAGGGATTTTAAAAGATATAAATAACTTGCCTGAGATCACACAGCTAGTAAATGATAGGACAGGGATTCAGACCTAGGCAGTCTTGACTGCCAAGTCCATGCTTTTAATCACTATGCTGCTTCTAGTAGCTCTAGGTCATTGATTTTAGCTGCTGTGTAGTATTACATTTTATGAGTAGTCTATAATTCATTTGTCCATTCTGCTGATAGACATTTAGTTTATTTAAGGTTCTTACTATCACAAACCATACTGCAGTGAATAATCTTATGCTTCTCTTTATGCACATTTAAGAGTTATATAGGGTATATATGTAAGAGCACAATTGCTAGCTCATAGGATGTGAGCATCTTAACCTTTTCTAGATATTGCCAACTTCCTCTCTGAGGTATTTCTGCCAATTTACACCCCACCAGAAGTATACGCAGTGTTCTAGTATGCCATATCTTCATCAATTTAGAAATTTCAGACTTTTAAATTTGCTAATCTGGTAGATATGAAATATCATTGTGGTTTTCATTTTCATTTGATAATGATGGAGCTGCTGATGGAACATCTTTTTCAGATATGTATTAGGCATCAAGTTTCTTTTTCTCTGAATTTTACCTGTTTATATCCTTTTCCTATTTTCTACTGCTTGTTTATCTTTTTTTATTGTTGATTTTAAGAGTGCTTTCTGTTTTTCTATATTAATCTTGTACTATGTATGGTCTTGCAAATATCTGTTGCTAGTTTATGGCTTACTTTTCTATTATATATTTTCTTTGATGACCATAAGCTTTTAATATTAGTACATTATTAATTTATCATGCTATTAAAAATAGAAAGCTATATTTAAGTGAAAAAAGAATTCTAAACTTCCAGATACACTTAGCTTAGAAACTGTTTCTTCTGTTTTAATTTTCAAGTCCAACGAATCAGAAATATAAAATACATTTATAGGCATCATTTTTTCATGGTTAAGTCAACAGTCATCTAGAGGAAAATAATTATTTAGAAAGAAAAAGTACTGAATTCTGTTTCATTTGATTTTCAAACTTTTAGGTACTGGAAAAAGAGTTATCTCCAATCATTGTTTTACAATGTAATCAAAATAAAAGTTTTAAGATTTTAATGAGGAGAGGATTAGCCATTTGTAAAAAATATGCAATGATAGTGCAAAAAGAGCAAGGAGGCCACATGTTCTGACCTCCCCTAATCCCACAATAAGACAGAATCACCATCAATAGCCCAAGGCCTATTCCTGCCAGGCCAGACATGCTGCCTCCCTCCAGCCCTTTCTCCAACTCTTCCTCCCAAAGCACCTACCACCTCTCTCCTAGGTTTCATAATTCACTGCAGTGGCCACACAGAACTCACAGATTACAGGGTTTATTAGGGAAGCACCAGGCTACAACTCAAGTTCAGGAAGAACGTTCAGTCTCTCTCCCAGCCCACCGTCCCTCAGCCGACAGTCTCTCACAGTCTCTCTCCCAGCAGTGCTGGTCCCTCGGTGTCTCACTCAGC